GAATAGACGCAATCTCTGGATACAGAAAGTAATAAAACGGAAACTAAAGAAAACACAATTTTTGATGATTACTTGTAGTTGAGAAAATTTTTTGTCACTTAGGCGACTGACTGAAAAATGGGCAACGTCATACAAAAAAGGTGAAGGTACGCGAGACAAGGATCAAACGGCCGATGTGAGAGAGAATATCTTTGAGAAGCAACTCCGCAAAATGAGACGCTTAGAGCCTGTAGATGAGTTTGACAAGTATTGTTCGGAAAAAACAGTTGACTCTTCATTACTTTCATGTGGAGCTTTGGGTTGGTGGAAGGTTTGTATAGCATACAATGTATACCAGTTATATCTGTATGAATCAGAGTTCGACGCTGCCTGGGCACGCCGATAAATTCAATTTCCTACACCACCCACGGCGTCGACCTCTGATATGAATATATGAATTACCAAATGTTTTATGGCTTAATATATTTCATACACTTTTCAGGTTCATGCAGAGGAATTTCCTCAATTATCTGCGATGGCAAAGGACTTTCTCGCTGTTGCTGGAAGTGGAGTTCCGGTAGAGAGTCTATTTTCTAACGGTCCCGATATCTTAAGCCATCGGCGTCTAAATATGAAAGTGGATACTGTTAAACAATGCATTTGTTTCAAAAGCTGGCTGAAATGTGTCGAGGCGCAGTCTCTTGGAACTGTTGTAGCAGAAAAAATGTGTGGCGACCGAATTTAAACTTTTGAACTTAATTTCACTAGTTAATTAAAAGTTGTTACCATTGTTAACTTTTTGAGTAAAACAAATAAATTCAAATTTATGACTCAATTTTGGGGCCGCTAGGAAGATGACATAAAACTTTGCTAATAATTATTACTAGGTTTCATTTGGTTAGGATTAGATAAGCGTTTTAAATCGTTTTTTACGTGTCAAAATTCTAATAGGATTTTGACCACAGAATTAAATAACACCATGATCTTGGGAAGATGGATGGGCGATTCTTCTTAAAATGAGATAGTTGCCCACATTTGTTGTGTGGGTAACGCAAACTAACGCAAGCGATTTAATGCATTTCATGAAGTTACCACAATTAATATGCACACCAATTTTTGACAGCAAAAATTTTACAGCTATTATGTGCTACCACTGATGAGGCATTTCTCTTACGTTTTCCATTTGAGCTTCGTCACACGTTTCTATATATAAATTCAATTTGAATAAGTGGACTATCTGGCTTGGCACTGAGCCTGAATTAATTTCATGAGTGCACTTTGTGGAAAATTTGGGAGATTTTCTTTTTTTGGTGACAAAATTGAAGACTTAGCTCCTTGTTATGGTTGTTTACAATTTGAACACTTTTTGGTATGCATTTCTTATGCAGCAAGGGGGCAAATTATAGAATTTACCGTTGGTCAGTCTCTGTATTTGCTCAATGTGTTGTTCCCAGATCTGACAAAAACGCAAAATAGCTCATTTTGTGATGCTTAAGCTAAAAAAATTCACAAAAAAACCAATTTTCTCTTTTAAAAAATTTACAAATGAAAAATATTGCAGGTTTTTTTGCAAGAAGAACAAATTGTCATTAGCAACATTTTTCTGCAGGCAATAAAACAATTAAACTTTTGATTGTGTCGAAATTTAAGAAAAACGACGAAATGTAAATTAGGAAATTTGAATTAGGAAATTTTAGGAAATTTAAATTAGGAAATGTTAGGAAATTTAAATTAGGAAATGTTAGGAAATTTAAAAAATTTAAGAAATTTTGCAGATATTTTAACATGCTAAAAAGGGAAATGTTTGCATCCATTTTTTTGCATATTCGTGATCACTGATCCGCACGAAATTACACACGTACATATAAGGAGTTGGTCTTTCAAATTAAAATCCCGGCATAATTGGTTTGCGCCCCATTGTGATAACTCATGTATTTTTTGTCGCATGTCGAAACGTGGACGTAATTAAACGACATGTAATAAATATTTTTGATAATATCATTTAAATAAAATTCCGGGCAGCGTGTTTTTGTTCGTTCGATGTTTTTTGTAACCTTTGTAAGTAGATAATTCGACGCGTCTTCTAATACATACAAAGAACTTCATATTAGATCGAAATTCGGGACAATACCCATAAGTCATTAATTTGTACCATTGAATGAGCGTTTTGAGTTTGAATATATTTGTCTCAACTTGGTCTGCAATGTATTGAATTAGAGATTTTGAAACTTGCTCATCCCGTGTGTTTCAAAAAATAAAGATTTTATTGCATGAAAACATCGATAATTTTTAGGTTCACAGAGTTAGGAGGTGATAATTTTGATTTTTCTGACCATGAGAAAATAGGATTAGAATGGATGAAAAAAATGATAGTGAAAATTAAATGTTTCTTCATGGAAGAAACATTTAATTTTTTTCCGCCTAATTTTGTGAACATAAAAATTGTCTCTTGTTAGACGCCATTTATAAAATCTTCATTTTTTAACAAATTCACGAGATGAACATGTTTCAAAATCGGCATTTGAATACACGGAAGAAAAGAAGGCTGAGACACACCTTTTCAAATTCCAAACCAGCATATTTACAAGGGAGCCTTAACTTTAAAATAAAAAAATAATTCAAATGCCATCAGGATCGTCGATTCTGTCGGTGAAGGTTGTCCTCCTCAGTTTGAACTCTTAAACCACTGGCTTAAAACCCCGTGAGCCTCAGCCCATCTTTCTAAGATTATCATCGTCTTACCGAATGCTTTATATCTCTTTCTTAAACAATTTTTTACACAAAAAACGGTAAAATGTATAGCTAATAATGTGTAGGTAGTAAACGAAGGAAATGAACCGCGACGCAAGTTGTTTTTTATTCTTTTTAAGTTTTTGACTTCTGACCCTGTATATTGAGGTCAGTATTTCCTGGTGTCAAAGATTACATAAAAAATTTAGTTTTCCTAAACTTATTTTCGTTATTACATCCGCCTTACAGCATACAGTACAGTGTATCCCGGAAGCTTAACCCAACTCGAAAATAATACAGACCAAAACACATTTATTGACCTGCTCGGTACCTCTGACTTTGTTAATGATATTAAATCCATAATTACTTATTTTATCTGTAAAGCAGCGAATTAAGTTTTCGTTATTACTTTACAAGACGAAATGTTTCAACCAGTTTCATTTGCATTTGCGCATAATGTACCAGCCATTATTCACTCTTACATCACTTAAACGTAATTCTACCAGTTTTATACTCCTCACAACAATAAAGCTATTGTGCACCAAGGAGAGAAAGTGACGTAGGAAAATATACAAATATTTAATGTGTTAATTTCGATCAGTTTCAATTCAACATATCAGAGCGCATTATCCTGAAAGAAACTTATTAATTTTTAAAATGGCCAGAACCCACGTCATTTTAATCGTTTTAGTAATCGGGTTGTTTTTCTTAACGGGACAAATTATTGCAGCCCAGAACGCTGAAATCCCAAACTCGTTTGACGAATTAGGTACGATCTCAAACTTAAATTTCACTTGCTTTCTTAGAAAAAATTAATCTCTATGAATATGTATTTTCATCTGCAGATAAGAAATTAACCGAGCTGGCTACCCGGCACAAGCGGGATTACCCGAATTACTATCGTGGAATGTGTGACTGCATTTGCACCCCGTTTTCGTTCCCGTGCTGCTGCTCTCTTTGAAGATCAGGAATTTAGGAAGTCAACTCCTGTTTATGAGAGCGGTTTAAAATTCGATCTCGTAAATAAATATTTTCATATTCATCTATTTATCCAATGTCTTGCATAATTTTATTACATCTTAAGTACTCAGAGTGAGAGCAATCCTCCACTCCAAAGCGGAGGTTGAAGCTTCATTAATTACATCTCATGTCGCCTCCATTTGAGGCAAGTTGAGACTTGGCAGAATTTAGATGGAGCAAGACTTAGGCAATGACTTTTCTGGACATGTTTTTACCTTGGATTGTTACCCTTTATTATGTACGGACCGTCGGACGTACATAATAGCAAGACACATTGAAAATGAAAATAGCAACGAGTAAAGAGTGAGTTGCGATTTGTCCACTTTCCATCTGTAACTTTGGAACGAATCATCTTTTAAAATTCTGCCCAATAAACTCCCTCCTTTCCCCAAGTTTATTATCCAGTGTTGGAGCTTATCTTGCCATACACATAATCACTCTTTTCCGCAATGAGTAGATAATACTGTTTCAGGTACACATTTTACATTGTTATTGTGTCTAGCGAGAGCAATGCATAGCTAAAGAGTTGTAGATACATATTTATTGTACCAGTCAATTGAGCAGGTCTTTCCATTTCTCTTCTCGATAAACATAACCCACACATCATTTGCATTTACGGTGTATGTATTTAGATACATACACACGTTACATTGCGATTGCCCGTCTCATTGCATTTTTCATGCAAAAGTCTCAAGCTGCCTCTCACTCTTGTATATTATCGACCCATACCGTCGCTCTGGAGATACTTCTCGGTTAAGAGACCGTGCAATCATACATAAGTTTTCAGATGAAAATGTGGAAAAAATGTGACACTATGTTATATCTGTTCTAAAGAAGTCTAAGATCTGGCAAAAAATGCATTGGATTTTTTACCTGATTCTTCAACGAACAACACGTCCAGCCCATGACTTCATTCAATCTTAATGTCGTTTCGTCGATGAATTATTTGACCTACAGACCCAGAGATGGACGGACGGACGGACAGACAAACATAACGATCGTTTAACTTAGTTTCACTCTTTAATGACCAGATTAATTTGGATTGAGGCAGAATGCCATACATACATTTGCACAAATGAACAAAACTGGACCTGATATCAGTTTCTTTTTCATGCATAATTAATTGATACCCCTCCATTCAAATATGACATACAAAGTAGAGAATGATATCATCTCCCCCGCCCTAATTATGTGATAAGCGTTATCTCCCATTGACACAAACTTACCAATCCATTACGCGTGGCAATGAGTCAGTGCATATAATTCTCACTTTTAAATACGTTTCTCACCTCAGTCACTTTCATTCAGGTGAACGAATCGGGTCGGCGATTTTCCTTCCAAATAAAAGAAATAAATTTGGTATCAAATAATACCTCACAAAATTATAATAATGTCCGTGATTACTGTCGCCTTGTAAGTGGAATTTCCTTAAGTCAATAGATTTAAATAATTCTGGTGAAACACATCCGCACACACTTTTAAAAATAGTTTTACCATTTTGAAAAGAAAGCGTAGTATGAAATCTACACTTAGAAATCCGGTTTAGTCACGCGGGTATTTATTTATCGGCATTAACGTTGCCACCGTTTGGTATTAAAATATTTAATACCGGTCCGTAAAAATTAGAAACTTTAATAACGGGTTATTATTACATGCACGGTACTATGTAGCAATACCACGTTGGTAGAATCACATATGAATACAGCCTGGTATTATGTTAATAGCGGATTTCTAGGAGTGCATGTCTATTAAATAAAATACAGTAAATCCGCCATCAGCTTATTGTCGACTAACAAGTTCGCATTACTGTGGATTTAGTTTATATAATTTAGAATTTTAAACGACTTTACTCTTCAAGAGAGTACCATAATTTTAAAAAGTGTATCTTGATACCCTGTCAAGGGAATGTATACATACTGAATTATGTAAATATGTATTTATGTACATAAATATGCAAATTTTACTTCACAGGATGGCCACTTTTATCTGGGGAAATTCGCTCTCAAATTTACAAAATTTCCATCTCCAAATCGGCGGAATGAATGCGTCTGAATTTGCTGATTTACAACTTCTAGCCACCCCCGTGGAAAACAGCGTTCTAGAAGAATTCGGGGCCTGGTCGGGAAATTGGATCGTCGAAACACCACAATTCCCAGGATCTGAAAGAATGAGGCTCTTATCAAACCCTCCCTTAAAGCATGCTGCCCCTTTTCTCGCCCGCATTAAGACGTGGGGCTACCAAATCACGTTTTACCAAAGTTACCAAGAAAAACAAGAATTTTTCAGGCAAAGCTGCATTTCAACCGATATGACGCCGTCAATCGTTCATACCTGGATTTTGGAGAAGTGACTAAATATTTAGCATGAGCAAATTTCGAAAAAAAATTCAAAACTTTGGTAAACAGAGGGCGGCTTTGTAATTACGAAAAATACCTAAAATACGTGTTTAATTACTAAGAAAAAAAAACATCTCCAAATATTTACAAATTATATATGACAAACGTCAGAACTTTTGAAAAACTTGTGTCTTGAATTTTACGCTATATTTTCTGTCGTAGAATTTTTTTAGGCAAACAATTAACCTCTTATGTATCGTATAATATTTATCAAAAAATGTGCTTGAAACTGTAGAAATGTGTATGTAACAATATGTAAAAATGTCCTGTGACTTATAAAAGTTAACCAACACCTTCTCCGAATTTGATCATCGATCGTCATAATCAAACTGAAAAGTTAAAAATAAATACATATCCGCCCTCTGTTAACAAATTTAAATCCGTTGATTCAGCATATGTAACATCTCTATTTTTTCATACAGTGAAAGTCACCTTGTCATCCTGCCCCCTCCTCCCAGTCCCACGACAACGCTCATCCCCCCAACGACTACAAACATAACTACTCCAGAAAGTACGACACGGTTCGATTCCACAATTTCAACAACACCTAACCCCACCCTGATAACCACCCTGGTCCCACCAACCAGTTCAAGCATTACGACCATGGAAAGTACGACCCGGTTCGAATCAACAGGTTCTACTGAAGAGACAACTTCCCCTTCAACAACGGAAAACCCGAGTTCTTCTCCAAGTTTGATGAGGCCTGAAGTCGTGGCTGTATTATTTTCTTTTGTAGGTGTTTTGTTAATTTGAAGAATAAAATTGCCGTTACATTTCATATTATTGCGATATGCATGCTTCAAACCAGAGTTGAGTCGGGTTCCCGATCCGTTTTAAACGGATCGGGCTTTTTTAGCGTCCAAAAACGGAAGGAATCTGGCTTTTTGGAAAATCAGAAAAACGGATCGGGTTAAAACGAGTTTTATTTTGACCCGAAAAACGGATCTGATATGGTTCTCAAAATCTATGGTTCGACTCAATTCTGCTTCGAATAAAATTAATTAAAATTTCATCCTCGTTTTTTTAAATTATTTTATTTATTCTTTGGTGTCTTTATGTTTATATGCTTAAGGTGCACATATGTAATTAATAACTTGTTATCTTCGTTCCCTTATTCCTTAATAAAGTAGGGAACAATGCCCAGTGGTGCAGGGTAGCCTCGTAGCCAACCTCCCCCCACGTGGGTAAGATTGGTAACTCCGGACCGCCAAGTGCCCATGGGAAGATAAATGTCTCTGCTGGTCGCGCCCTCCTCCACTACTGGCGCTACCATAATGGTGTCGCCCAACATATACGCTACATCAAGAGAACAATGCAGGGGATTTAATTAATTTAAATATTTGCATATGCAAATTTGAATTTCGCACCTTGATCAATTGTCAGCGTCACCTCGTCTGTCGGGTCAACCCACCAAATTGGACGATTTATCGGGGACCCATCAACCACCGCTTGCGCTGCAGCAGCCAAGATGTGATCCTTGTATTGGTCTCGAATGGCCAAAACCCTTTTACAGATTTCGATCGTCTACATACATATATTAAAGAAAGCAATTTTAGGAAACTTAAAGTTTGCACTTTTTCAGGGAAATACCTCGGCATCGAAATTTGCATCCCAAGGAACAATGCTGAACTGCACCGCGGGCATGAACACGTTCACTTGTAACCAACGAATGTACAGCTCCTTCGAAGGCCAGTCTCCATACGCATTTCCGCCAATCATATCGGGGAGGACGAAGGGGTAGCCGATAATCCCGAATTGCAGGGCGGTAGGAATCATGGACTTTAAACCGGCCTGGTGACCCCACCGGCTGCCTTTATCATTCATCCGGAAGAAGATGGGCAACTCCTGGAAAAATGCGATTAAATTTGGTAAAATCTCACGCATAAATTTTGGTATACAAAAAACAATCCCAGTAAAAATAACGCGGTCAAATAATCGATTTGCATATTTTAGTCTGCACAATTTTCTGCTTAATGCAACAAAACCTTACTAAGGGTTTTATTCTACAGAGCGATATACCAATAACTTTATATAATTCCGCATATTTTTTGATACATCGCATGCATAATCTTTTGCTAGATAAGACTGTGAAACATTTCAACACAAAATCGAGACAAATTTCTGCAGAAAACCCGTTGAAATTTTTTGGCTACAATTGAAATCTCGTTATTTTTAATTTTTTTTCCAGAAAATAACAGGATATGCAGAAATTTTCTATTTCTTTAAATTTTCCACAAATTTTTACCCCAACAATTTTCATTTTACGGTAATTTTTAACTCGAGTATTCATTATAGAGTGACAATAATGAAAACCGGAATCACTTCACACCTTTACAATTTTGATTTGGATAAGATTCTCAGCGTTTGTAGAGCTGATTTTTATGAGTCCAGCGATTCAAGTCCCGTGTTTCTACTCCACCCCCTCCCGGAGTGGGTGGATCTCAAAGCTAGGAAAACAGGGGTTTTCTGCGATTTTTAGCTTAAAGGCGGGTCAATATTTTTGGAAACGGTTTTCGCCAAGAGTTTCCTAATTTTTATCTCTACAACCCTTTGCGAGCGTTTTGTGAAATTCTCAAAACGAATGTCACGATTTTGAATTTTCTGGATTCAAGTTTTTTCTCAGGATTTTCAGCTTTTTTTAAATGACGTGAATGTGTGCAGAAACCATCCTAATTTATGCTAAACATCATAAAGTGACGAAATGTTATGGTTCGGGGTCCAACAGGTCTGATATTTGGATGAGAACGAGAATCTGAAATGTTCCAAAATTTAACACAGCGGAAGATTGGGAGCTAACATAGCAATGGAATAGGGACAAACTCAGAATATTTTTGTCTCTAGAACAGCAGGGATTAGTCATACACCAGACAAAGTACATATATTCTTAACCCTCGCGCTGAGAGCTTTCCAATGGTGTCTCATATGACCCCAATTGTGGGGTTATGTGAGACTTGACCTTTCCCTAATTTTACTCCAAAATCGTGACGTCCGTTTTGAGAATATCAAAAAACGCTCGAAAAAGGTTGTAGAGATAAAAATTAGGAAACTTTTGGTGAAAACCGTTTTCAAAAATATTGGCCCGCCTTTAAGCTAAAAATCGCAGAAAATCTCGGTTTTTCCAACTTTGAGCTCCTCCCACTCGGCGAGAGGGGGTGGAGTAGAAACACCGGGCTTCGACCGTTGGACTCATAAAAATCAGCCCTACCAACGCTAAGAATCTTATCGAAATCAAAATTTTAAGGGTGTGACGTGATTCCGGTTTTCATTATTAATTGTGACTCTATAAGATTAATAATTTCATTTTTTGTAACCATGTAAAAATACGTAGTTATATGCAAATTATTTCCTTGCCTGATTAAAATGTCCCACTCTCGCTTCGCCTAATCCACCATGCGTTGCCACCATTTGTAAATATTTGGTCGTGTACAGATTCGGCGCCAGGTTCGGGTCGCCCTCCAATCGCATCGAGTACTGGAGGTAGCCGCGCTCTCCGGCGTCAAATTTGAATCCGTCGAAACCATACGTCGACACGATATTGTCTAGACGGTCATTCCACCACTGCAGCGCGGCGGGATTTGTGATGTCCAGCGTTCCCATGTGAGCACCCGCCCACCATGCTGATATCCCTGGCTGACCGTATCCATCCTCCAGCAGGTATCCAGCGTACATCGCCGTCTTGAAGATCTCGCATTCTGGCCATCAATTTTTTTAATTTTAAATTTCATCTATGAAAAATCTACTTTCTGATTTTTCCCGAAAAACTGATGAAAATCAGAAGCTGAACTCATCACGTAAAGGCATTAGCTTACCGAAATTCATGAAAGGGTGAAACCAAAGTGTTATCCGAAGATTCATACTTTTCACTTGAGCCACCATGGCTGTAAAAAATAAAATATAATAGTAAATAAAAGAGCAACCACAAAGAAGATGCTGTGGGTTTGAATCCCACTACGGCAATTTAGTAGCGATCATATAAAATTATTTCCAAACAATTACTTTCATCCTTCTAAATTTTCTAATTATCACTAGTTTAAAAAAAATTGAAAAATAAGTATTCGTTCGAATAATAGAGAGAGGAAAGTCCTTATTTTTTTCTAATGCAAACCAACTCTACCCGATAACTTCTAACATTTTTTGTTTGTTTATGTTCTTAATCAAATATTAAAAGCTGCGCATTACCAGCCGGATCCGGAAACTTGACCGGGTCGAAGGTCCCCTCTCCATAGCAGGTCTCCCACTTATCATCAATCTGAATATGACTACTTGATGAGAACCCGTAACTAATTATTTTGTCCGCATAGTCCAGCACGATGGACTGATTTACCGCAGTTTTGTACTGGGCCCAGGTCGACCAGTACGGGTAGAGCAGCATCCTCTCGTCCGGGGTGGCTGTGGGTTTTTGGTAAAATTTGTGGAAATGTGTCTGATGCGTCGTCTTCACGTTTTCTCCAACACAAACGGTGTACTTCAAGGAGAGTGAGGATCTCGTGTCGTAGGGAAACGTGTCACTCGATACGAAACACAGTTGTCCAGGTCGTACCGTGTTCCAGCCTAGGAAAAGCGTTAGTATCAATTTCTAATTTAGATAAACATACAAATCTAGTTTTTGCGGGAAATTTAAAATTTAGAATTATCTCGTAACTAATAGAGTTAAATCAAATAAGGTAAATTATGTATCAAAGAAATGTTACAAGTTTAGGCTCAGTCCACGTCAATGTCAATCATGTGTTACGGGCCACGTCTCAGATTTTAGGGCTAATTTTACCATAAATACGTACTACTTAACCCTTTAACGTGTATGATTAACGGCAAGAAAATGCCTTAAATCGGGGACGCTATAAGTATGTTGTGGTCATGGCGCGGGAGGAGAAATTAAGGAGTTTTTAATAAAACTGGAAAAACTGAAAAATCAAAAATTTAACATTGCATTGTATAGGGAAATATCCAAATTTTTGGGAGGAAAATCTTCAAATTTAGCATTGCGTTGGCATAGGAGAAATCTCTCAAAATTGCAACAAATTTTAGGTCGCGGAGAAAAAATGGTGAAAATCAATGACCTCCTAGAAACGACAATTGTCTTCCTTCCGCGCCATGACCACGATTTTTCTGGACGACTTTTGTCTTACTCCCGAATTAAACCATTTCTTATAAAACGACTTGTTCTAGGCACTATAAACTAAATTCTAAAATTTAAAAAATTTGGCAAATTTGAATTCTAGCCATCTACTAATAGTAACTTCAAAACGTTATAACTTTTTGCACCCTGTGTGCAACCAAAATTTCATAAATTATAACGTAATTTTAAATTTCTAATCCACCATAAAAATAAGGTCGCACACGACAGGGTGCAAAAAATTTTATCGATTTTTCTGACACACATCAACACATGCAAGCTTATGTATGGGAATATTCCCAAAAATTATCAGAAAACAAGAGGCGTAAACAAAACTTTCATTGACAAAATTCATATGCCATACAAGTAAAGATTATTTTTAGCGCTGAGTTAAAAAAAATGTGACTAAAAAAATGTAAATCGCTCCCTGAAGAAGATAGCAGCTCGCTATCGAATGCTTGGAGCAATAAAACATTTAAAATGTCATCCATGATTCCCGTTATTAAACTCATTACATAAAAAAATGTAGCCCTGACCGCGTCGACATTTAAAAAGTTAGTACGTGCTACGTCCACTGCTGGTGAGCACCACCATCAGTAGTGTCGCTAGGAGTGGAGAGACAACATCTCCGCTCTCATGACTCTCGCCCGAACGTGGGTATTGACGTGAACTGACTCTTTATGCATAAAGCGGAAAATTGGGTTACCACGTTTTCTTGTTATTACACAATCTGAGGGTAGTTAAGTACTTACATAAATATCCCTTTTCAAATTTTCAGGTTTTTTTGATAAAATACGAATGGAGTAGGTTTTTTAATAAAAAAATGTATTCCAGAAGGTCCCGAGAATTAATTTAAAAAATTCAAATTTTGTTCTAATTTGTTAATATTTGGAAATATTTTAGGATTATTTTCCAAATACAAATTTCAGAAATTTGTCGAAAATATGTATCCGCCCTCTGCTACTTACTGACGAACAGCGCATTATCCTCATCCACATGGATTGAAGCTCCCTTCGAAAACAGCCAATAACTATCAATCAACCCCCCAAACTGTCCCCCCGTCGTGAAGGGTGATTCATCCTTCGCGTCCGGATTAATCGGCCAGTACATCCAGTGCAATCCGTGCGATCCGTACATGTGATCGTCCACCCCGACGTTGTAGCAGTCTTCCAGACGTCGTGAATACGTCGACGTCCACACTATCGAGGTACAGTCGTCCCGCGTGTCCGTGACGGTGAGGTTGGCATAGTCGTCGTAGGAGTAACACTGGACGGTCGGATCGGTTGGGGAACAATCGATCTCGACCCCGGGACCGATAGCGTTCGGTAACGAGACTCCCAAACTTCCGGTTAAACGTGGTGCTGAAAATAGTTTCACGCGGTTGATAATTCATTTAAACGAATTATATATGTAAGTAAATAATATTAAGTAATTAAACTGTCCTAAATCAGACGATTTCAGCAAATTATTATTGATAGATATGTAAATATGCCACACTAGTTGCATAATTTATGCCCTCTTAAAAATATTGTCATCTATTAAAAAATATTATCATCTTTTGAAAAGTAGTGCAGATTAAATTTTGCGTTAATTATGCAAAATCTATGTAGAGAAAACTTTACACTTCATCATCTCTTGATTTTGGTATGGTTTACTACTTTTAAATAGGAGTCTACAGTGCACTTACTAACTTTTCAAAGGGTCCACGTTATTTTTAGGAGTGTGAATGCCATTTAAATTTAAATATGTAGTATCAATACCTCCATTAAACGTGAATTCAATCGGTCTCGCATTAATGGACGGTTTCGGGGCGGGTTTTTGAATTTTTGGTGAAGCTTTTTGACTCCCCGTAGCACAAATTACGGAAAAGTGTAAAACAACTGAAAACAGAAAATATTAAAAAATCTACCAAATTTTTTAACAAAGAGGAACATAACACGTAATTATTATTTATATTTCTAAAAAAAATATTCAAAAACTTACAAAGTGTGAGGCTAAACACGGTGCTGAAATTTTTGACAAACATATCTGCCTATGATTGACACGAGGATGAGTTTGTTTTAACACGAAGTGTTTTGCTACTTGAATTATCCAGCCTTTAAATGGGTGAGCTTATCATGAATACCTTACATAATTTGTTGTGTTGGCAGTATCAGTAGTATTTTACGTAATGTAAAATCCCACTGATAAGCACTTATAAATAGCTGGACACTGGGGTACATAATGCACATAGGTGGGCGACCCAAGGTCCAATATTTTTCAAAATATAAAGTTTTCATAATTTCGAAATATCCGACTGTAAAAATCGGGCATAGTTTATTACGAGCATTATGCTGCGAGGTCAAGATAATGTAAAATATCTGTACTTGCTATAGAAAATTATATGCTAGTTACTTTTTCAAAGGAAACCTCCATTCCACATTATTTCATAAGTTTCACATAAAAAACATTCCCTTCGACATAAAATGAGGGTTTACTTTATTTTTTCATATCCTTAGTCTTTATCGTTTAGTAAAATATGTAAGTTCCGAAATTTTGTAAGCGTTGTCAAAGTTATTTATTAAAAATCGCGTTTCTAAGATAAAGGTTTGTGCGAAGCTGGACCCCTTGTTTCTTTCTTCGAAAACTGCATAATCTATGAGACGAATGAATAATGAACCATAAATAGATTCTGACAGGAGTCGCACAGTCAATTCATTTCAAGATCCTGCATGACTTTATTTGAAAGCATATGAAACACTGGAGCACAAGCACCTCACGTGTACATATGAAATCTCCGCTCTATGCATTGCATTTGTGGAACTTATTCACTTGGATTGTGGATTTTGGATTTAGCATGAACAATATGTTGGGTCAGGTTATGCATTCGTGCATAAACATTTACATATTTATGTAAATCTGTACACAAAGTTGTCCTATTTAGTTGAAACATTCCGATTGTTACAATCGACAAGCTTATCTTAGTCTGGCATTGAGTTTTATTTAAACCTTATTACCTACGTTAAATATACTTAAATACTGGGTTTTACCTAGAGTTTGTTTTTCTCAAACTTTAATTTGTGCAGAAATAGTGCTAAGCTATCACTTCTTTTCAAATATTAACATTAAACAATTAATGTCATCAAAGACATCAAAGATTTAGTTGGATTTATTTGTTCAAGTATATTTACAAGGGGTACATATTACAGACACTTCATAAATATTGGGACATGCTTAAAATAAATATAGTTACGTTGTGGAATAATAAATGCATCATAAATTCTAGATTATGCATCTAAACCATGCAAAATCTAGGTCAGACTTGACAATTTCAAAAGTCGACGTTACGCTACATCTCGTATACTTTACACAATTTAGAATTTAGATACATTTACATATCTCTTAAAAATAATAGATCACACAGTTTTGGGAGAGTAGTTAGTAACTACTAGTTACTGAAATTTCTTTTCAAATTAAATATCATAATAATAATTCGTAACCATTTTGTACATACATTATTAAGTTTTTGTGTTACATTTTGCCACAGTAAACAGTTTAATGTTAATATAGATATACATAAATATTTTGTTTAACCACAAATAAACAATAAAAATTGTCTAATTGATACATTATCTACATAAATTTCACGATACAATGTCACATGAATACATAAATAATTCGTAAACGATCCCTTGTCCCATCCTACTTTTATGAAACTATTCAAGCCTCTCCTCCTCCCAGGGTAACCATGACAACCGAGTTTGCACCGCGTATTCTCTCTTCTTTGAGTATTTGATGCATGAAAGCGGCCACAATCCATACCTCGTAGATTACCACGCTCAGCCAGACAACAAGAATCAACCATTCGTAAAAACCAAACGTTTTTGGAAATTCGAGAATGAACATGACAATCCACACCGTGATTCCATCAACGAATCGGACAAATTGTATCCTCATCCAGAACTTACAGCAGGCGACGTTTTGCTGTAAAGGAAATCAATATAAGTAAAAGTTGGAAATACGGATTTTTTGAAAATTGTTGTGAAAAAAGTTAGTGATTAATTCACTAACTTTTCCAGAGAAAATAACCCATTAAATATAATTTTAAATTAATTTTATAAAAACTTCTTCAGCTAATTTCAATTCTAAGAATCATCTGATTAAATATCTGATTAAATAATGTTTCAAAAATTTTAATCTTTTTCAGAACGGAAGAGATTTACATGTTCAGCCGCAGTTTTAAGCAAACCACCAGACACAAAGTATCCCATGAAATCCACGAGAGACATGAAAAACAGCAAAATCCATGGCGATACTTCAACCTGACGAAATACGTCCTCCAACGTCAATTCCTCCGATTTCACAATAGTTACATCTGTTCCGGAAACACAACATTTTCCAAATTTAAGTTTTAGCGGTTGAAATTTAAACGTTTACGGAGGGTATTCCTTGTCCCTTCGTAACCCTATTATTGTTAAATAGTTGACGAAGGCAAAAATGGACTAAAAAACCGTAACCGTTGAAACGCGATTTTTTATTACGAAGGTGTACAGCCCATGCAAAATCTCATGTAAAATTTACGAAAAATACAAACGTTACGGAGAATTCAAAAGTTACGAAGAACACTAAGGTTACGCAGAGTAGAAAGGTTACGAAGAATACTCAGGTTACGAAGAGTAGAAAGGTTATAAAAAGTACTAAGGTTACGAAGAATACAAAGGTTACGAAGAATACAAAGGTTACGAAGAATACAAAGATTACGAAGAATACAAAGCTTACGAAGAATACAAAGCTTACGAAGAATACAAAGGTTACGAAGAATACAAAGATTACGAAGAATACAAAGCTTACGAAGAATACAAAGCTTACGAAGAATACAAAGGTTACGAAGAATACTAAGGTTACGAAGAATACAAAGGTTACGAGGAATATAATTGTTACGAAAACTAGTAAAGGTACGAGTATTACCAAGATTACGAACAATACCAAGGTTATGAAAGAATTATGACCTGCATATAAAACTTCAAAAACTTTCATACATACCGCTCGGCACCGAGTAATTTTGGACGGACAGCAGTTTCCTCTGTTTTCTTCTCCACACGAACCAGATTAGCAATCCGGTGGCAGAAATTAGGAAAATTACCCAATTTAAAATCTGAAAATAATCGCGAAACCGATTTTTTCCTATGGAAATTAATCTAATTTAGTTTAATTCAGTTTATTTTTATCTTACCCGACAAAGAAACCCCACCCGTTTCACGCCACTTTTTAAATTTCTCGTACAACAAGGACCCCTCATTTCAATCTATTAAATAAATGTCCTCCTTAAAATAACAATGCATCCCGTTGAAGTAACTAAACCCACCTGATGATTCTCAGAAATCTCTTTCTGTATCCGGGAGAAAGCTCACTTCGCTTCGGGAAATAATCGATATCCAAAACCCGGGTAAGGTTGCCTCCGGAGTCCACGTCCACAGGTGTACATTCACGGTGTGAAAGTGTGCAAATGTTTGCATGAAATATTATCACATTCTGCATGCGTGCTTGATTACTGAACAAGTCGCGTGGGCCGAGGATGGCAAAGGAGAGACATAGTTTTCATACAGGTGTGAATTTAGGCGGATATGCAGGAAAATCCCTTCATACAGAGATACATATGGATATAAATATATAAATATGTAGTCCTCTCACTATAGCTGAAAGGAACCATTTTTTCCTTCTCATTTTCGGTAAGGTGTGCATAAATTCACACATTTAATGTGGAAACATAGGAAATATGCACGTTATTTGTCTTCACATCAGTTTATTATTCAAATACTCAAGTAAAGTAACTAAACTATTGAACTACATATTCATTATTAATGTATATTATAATGATTTTATAATAATTAGACTTATTATAATAATTATTAATAACTAATATGCACATTATTACATAAGTTAAAGTTGAAATAAAGTTGAAAATCTTATGATACTAATGATTTCTTCATATAGTATTCATTAATCAAACAACTAACCTATTATTCAAATTAATTAAGTAGTTGGCAAATATGCATATGTTGCTAAACATTGTGTTGTACGTAAAATATGTATGCACTTTATTCATATTTGAATTAGTCGACTCAATTTGATGCAATTGTGCTCATCTTGTTTTACCTGTTAGGTGAAATTACGTATGTTATCTTGCTTCGCGCACACATAATTAGATACGTAACAACAACGATAACCTTTATTTATAGGTTTTTTTAACAAAAATTAAATACACTCATATGTATAATGGATAAAGTTACCATAAATTAATAATTACTTACTACCACGACTTACAGATCAATTTCAAATCAAATGAATGTTATTTTGTCCTAACAAAGTCTCAACTGAATTACTACGAGACTTTAGACTACTTTTGTAGTCCACTTGCCCCACGTGAGGCAGGTTGAGAATGGCGAGGCAGACTGGTGCAGAACACCGTGCCTTACAAAGTTACAAAGTTTCGTGTTGGTTGGAGTATTTCTCCTCTGTCCTAATGCAATACATATGACTAAATATGTACGTACACAACACAATTGGGGACATTTGCTCGTAGGTACTTAATTTCCATTAATTCCACACTCTCCTTTCAACTATCCTACATCTTGTTTAGTTTATAATTATTATATTATCTACATACATATTTACTTGTACACTAACGTTTCCGAGCACAGGTTTTGTGCTTATTAAACAAAAGCATCGGTTAGTTTGGCATTTGCACAATTCACCGAATGGCGAGGATTTTTAGTCGGATGAAACGTGAATTTCACTATTGGTAAGTAGACAGGTCAGCACGGTAAATATACATATTTAGTTTACCATACTGGAAATGCGCGTTTCGTCCAACTTAAAACTGTAAAAGTGCTTACGGCCCACAATTCCTGTAAATGGCTTTTTATTTGTTTTTAACGTCTGTTGTATTTGATAATCTTATTATTACTTTTTTTTTGTTCCTGCGGAAACATGCCTGCCAGGTGGATTATTACCAACTTTCTGGTACATATGTACATATCTAACCAGGTGTACTTCTGATTTCATCATAAATTTTTGGTGTTCTGGATACCAATACGGTTAGTAGGGAAGTGCGCCTAGCGGATGAGACTGGCATAAAAATGTTGATATCTGGGAATATAGCAGACTGGGTTTACTAAAAATTTACGATGATAAAGTAGTGACCCTACCCTACAATCACCCTAACCCATAGTTTGCTAGGTTTCGTGTGTGACTTCCACCATCACTTTCTTCCTGAAAACTCAAAAAAAAAATTTCTCACCTACCTGGAGCTAGCTTGCTACCACATTCTGTTGAATTCAGTCCATCCATTCGGTATTTCTGATTCATTAGGATATTAGCTTTTAAAATATGTCCCTACTTTTTCAATGTGACCACATCGGGGAAAGTTTGGGGAAATTTCCCCTCGGCAAAAAAATCAAAATTTTTTAACTTTTTGGCAATTTTTAGGAATTTTGATTAATTGACAGCGAGTTAAGTCCAGCCAAAAAATAAGTTTCTGCAGAAGATGATGACCAATAATCATGGATTCCAAAATTCATTTGATCCAGTTTTTCGCGTACGTATTTTGGTCACTGGGGTCACTTATAGTGAAGAATTCAGGGTCATTTCTTTTCTGACAAGTCCCCAATTTTTTTGGAAAATTTTCTTGTCACTTTTCATTTGAAGCCATATCAGACTTCCTGACCCTTGACTGAATAGAAAACCGGCCATTTGAAAATTCGGCTAAGTTATATTCTGGTCATCTACATGAGTTTAGTTTCGTGCATATTTTTTGAAAAATTGTATGCAAAGTGTCCACTTTGAATTCAAGCTAAAAAAAAGGCATTATTTAAAGTAATTCATCATGATTTTTTAAGTCAACATTAGTTTGTCCCAAAGATTAAACAACAAATTGTGTTTTTAAATCCGCGTGCGGAGCCACACGGCGTTTTTCGACCGTCTCATCCGCTAGGCGCACTTCCCTAAACCAAATCTATGCAAATAATCTAAAACGCTAATTCCTTATACATTTTTGAAATGTTTGAGATTATTTTTTTTCTTTAAACAAACATTATGAAATTTATCCAGACGCACCTCTATATACAATAAATTATCGATCGAATCTTAATTTTCCCGCAATCCACATTAACCAATTATTTTGGACATACATAACTAAACAAATGTCCATATAATAAGGACTTAAAGTATTCACCTCATCTGTATGTAAAGTTTGCATATTACTGCATATGTTGACATGTCCAATAATCAACCAGAATTATTGTTACCATTTTGACATCTAACAATTGGAGGTTTCTCAACGTATATTCACAGATTAGGACCAACCCGTCGACCATCGATCTCATATAATTGGTATCCAATTTGCAAATAGAACTATCTGCCAATGCTGATGTTTGGTGGAGACATTTGCATAAAAAGAGGAGAAAACGCAACCCCAAGGCTGGCAAATTTGTCATTTCCCAAATTTGCTGGTAATTTTTCCCGCTTTGGATGCAAATATCTACGCCAAACCTGCGCATTGGCAGATAGTTCCATTGGCAAATTGCATATTATTATATTTGTGAGTGACGCAAGTTTGGGCCAAATTTGTAAGCATAGGTTGGGAGACCTCCATTGTTAGTGCACTCTGAACTTTATGTGTTGGACAGTATTTTATGTATGTAAATTCAGGGAACCGCTGAGGTGATTAAAGAGTAAAGTTTACCCTTGCAAGGAAAACTTACGAGGTTCCCGTCATGCACATGTCATCCACTATGTTTTTAAGAATCTACCAGAATCCTTTATTTAGGATCCATTCATATTTACGTGAAAAATTCAAATTCCACGTCTAGGTGTGGCCCCAAACTCAAAGAATTCTTTATTCGACCAATTTCAAACCTCTAGAACTTTTATAGGTTAGAAATGTCGTAATCCATGAGAATTTCATACATTCTCACTTAAAATGATGACAAAAATCAAAAGTTTAAGATACAAGCAAATAAGCAATTGTTATATTTGTTGATAGATTTAAATATTTTAGTTAAAAATTTTGAAAATCCGTGCAGGGATTTGGCTAAATAACGAGCTAAATATAAATTTTACGCGGGAATAACTTGGTAAACCACTTGGTAAAAAGTAAAAAAGTAAAAAACTTGGTAAGAAAAACGTGGTAGCTTCCTTTTACGCGACTGAAACCTCGGAAACATCCCTTATGACTTTGTGAAAATTTAGTTCCGAGTGTATCAACTTTCTTCCAAACTACGTGGGGATTGGATAAGGAGTTACGTATATAAAAAAATCACGCTGACACATAAAGATCAAAACGCACTCATATTTACCTTGAACGGCCCCTTCAAATCAAACTATTAATTCAATTCTTAACTATACACATATTCTCTTGCCTTTTCCATCGGAGGTCAAAACCCAAATCGACATCAATTCCCACAAGCGCATATGTATTATACGAATATCCAATATTATTAACACAGCGTATGTTTGCATAATTTCCAAACAAAACAATTTGACGCAACTTCTACTGAGAATTATCTACTAATTTTCTTTGCCGCACATTTGCTTCTACACATCTTCATTTGATGTTACTTAAACAATATTTTGCTTTGAAGTTGTCATTCAACTCGAGGATTTTTGCCATGTGATTTGTGCCATTTTTCCCAGCCCTGCTTACACAAAGAACTCGCTACCTCCGGATGGGATTTGTTGCCCGGGTTCCGACCGGGACGAGGGCCTTATCCTGACCATCATGATGGAGATGTGACGACGATCTATGTTCCCTCTCTTGCAGAACAGCCTCGCACAGAAATTCTCTCCCAGCCGAGTTATACCTTCGATCCAGAAGCAGAGCATTGGTGTGTATCCCATGAAAACGGCGATCCAGAATTTTGCAAGGTTTGCAAAGACGACATTTTCCTCCATTTCCAGTACGACTTTAGTCCTGTCGTAGATTTGGTCGTAGGAGGCGACAAGTCCGAATGGGATCCAGAGGAGGACAAACAACATGGTGTACGACAACAAGAAACGAATTCGTTTCAGTCGAGAAGTCATTCCCCAAATTGTAGGGACCTTAATAAGCAAAAGTTTACAGGTTCATTAAACTACACGAAATATTACGGAAAAAGAAATGCTTAATTTTGAAATACTTACGGTTCGTAGGTACATGTATTTTCCCCGATTTTTGAACATGACTGAAAAAGATACAATTTTTTATAGAACATCCATCATCGTTTAAAAATTATATGGACTATTATCACGTACAAATGTGGAAACTGAATAATCAGTAAGAGTCATGAAATATATCAAATCTTTACTAATCTGAATTCCTGTAACTAATTGAAGTAACTAATAATTAAACTAACTAGTAACTGTCGAACTGACAGCCTCGTTTTCTAGTAAAATGCTATAAAGCTCCCGTAATTATACTCAATCATATCCTTAAAAATCCGAACACGTATGTAAAAGCAGCGAGCTCTGTAAAGCTTGTAATATTAATGTTAATATTGTAAAATCTACTTTTATTTCCTTGTAAATCATGTCAACATAAAGTGAGTAAACTAATTTTGCAAACCGTATAAACTCTAATTTGACACCTAACACACAATTCGTTTAAATATAACGGCAATGCCAACACCACTCAATTCTCATTGTCACACGACTTTACATAAAACCCATTCCGCAAAGTTTAAAAATTGTTCAGTTACATTTCGTTCCAGCCACTCACCGTAAAAAATCCAGCCTGCTACACCAACATGAAAGACTCCAAACCTCACCATCTCCACCACCTGGAGCACCATCTCGCTCTTAGGTGACGCCACCTTCATCATCCAAATAATTAATTCGACCACAATTCCCCACTTTTCGCACCCACATTTTTCTTGCCCCCCCCCCTCCCTTCATCCACATTTGCCCCATTCAAACTATCCCATTCCAGCAACCTAGGCACGGCCCCCACGGCAGCCAAAAACCAGCAGGTCACCTTTCTCCGAGGGTTTGGAGCTTGAACATCCTCGAATCCAGCTTCCAATTCGGTTAACACCTCCTCCACAAGTGACATCACCTCAAGCGGGTACACATTCACGAGCCAGGCTATGGGGTAATTCAATACCATTTTAATTAATGCAACTACTGGGGGATTCATTCGAATTCGCGACGTTGTAGCATGTGTAAATTTTTTTGCAAACATTACTTTTATAAAAAAATTTAAAAACTTTTAAAAGCTTATGTAATTAAAGGCTTGGAGGGTGCAGGTTTTTCATTACAATTATGTTGTCTTTACCCCTTTTTGGCGCATGTTTACATTTGGATTAGGAGAAATACAAAGTAATGCAAATAGGTTTAGTTTTCTTACTTCGTATGAAAGACAGTTCCCGTTCTGTGGAGGTTGTGATTAATCGCGGCCATTCCATAACATCAAAGAAGGAGAACAGTGACGCCAAAGCTGTCACAAACGACCAGTTCGCAATTGATTTGTTGATAGATCTGGAGTAATAATTTAACATAAATTAGTTACAAATTCCCTTTTGTCTATGTACTATATACTATGTGGGGTGACCAGACTACTCATTAATAGAGACAGCCAGGCCAGCGGCGGTAGCACATTTAAGGCTAATTGCCGATTCCCTTTTGTCTAGATTACTTCGAATGACCTATGAACTTAATCTACGGAATACAAACAATTATTTAGGGGGATCGATACCTAAATTGTTACCAGTAGGCTACCCTTGTAAGTACAAAAACCGTGGAACCGTATTCCCAAGACAGTCCATCAAATATATTCATAAGTATTGAATGTGGGTATGCAATATTTGGTAAATATTGATGTTAAGTCCTCCCCATGTGTTGAGATCCGACCAATCTACCCGATTTAGCTTTCACTCTCAAAAGAAACAGGATTTCGAAGCACAGTGAAAAGAACGTAGGAGATGTAAAGTTATAAAAATCTATTTCTCTGATTCCAAATAGCTTGAAATCCGCAAATAAACTGACGATAACCCTTTGGCTTTACTCTCAAATCAATTTATTTCAACGAGAAATCAACTATATGGACTAAACAATTATTAATCAAATATTTTTAATTAAGTTTTTGCGGAAGAGGAATCTTAGCTCTCCTTAACTTCTACACACCGACCACTAAAAAATACTTCCCACTTCTCTCAACAGAACCCACGCGTCCCTTTTTCCTCACTATCCCACTTACACTCTTATTTCCGCATCCCTCACCCGCTCGATATTGAACATACCATTTTTCATGGGCATCTTATGTTCCATGAAAATGCTATTCTATAATGGCATATTATTAATTTTATAATTAAAATTACAGCATACTAATAACTCTACATATCATTTGACAACTCCTAACTGCTATTAAATTCAAAATGTATCGAGAAAATTACTCAACGAGTAATTTGATAACTCCCACACATGCCAATTCCGTTTTCATACTCATCATAAATCAATGAGTAAAAATTTAACAATATTATTATGCTATGCTTTTAACATTCCTCCCACCATCTTTTGAGAGCAGGACTCAAAAGATCAACCACATACAAGTCTAAGAATCTGTAACTAATTATCATATAACCAAGAACAAGAAATTGTACACTGCACATTCACTTTGAAGCACTAAATCTGGACGGCTCGTTCAGTAGTCGTCCAAAGCGTGACGTCTTAATCGGCACGTTAACTTTCACCGACTTCTTGAAAGCTCCGGCTTGCTCGTTCTTCTGAATCTTCGTAACAGGCGTAATTTTCTCTACTTCTTGAGTCACCACTGGAACTTCGATTGGATTGGAGATTTCCAATGGGAATAATCGCTGCAGTGGTCGGATAAGATGTCCATGCATGGTCTTCACTTTGGCCACCCGACTTTCTCCATCACGCCCCACCATCAGCTCGATGACTCGTCCCATATCCCACATGAGTCTTTTCTTGTTGTCGTCGCCTATGAGGACCAAGTCACCAACTTGGAATGGATGGACTTTCTCCTGTTTTCCTCGCTGTACCAATTGACTGAGGTATTCTTTTCGAAAACGGACACGAAACTCTTCCCTCAGACTCTTCTTTGCTTTATTGTCTTCGCTAAGTTGATGACCGCTCAACTCTTCAACTTCTGGGCACTCTACGTCTTGAATCTCTCGTAGAAACATAGAAGGGGTGAGAGGAATCAGGTCTTCTTGATCCTCAGTTACATAGGTAAGTGGCCGGTCGTTAATCACGGCTTCGATTTGACACAGGGAAGTGTGAAGTTGATCCTGAGTTAACTTGCGATTTTTGAGAACTCTTTTCAACAAGTCTTTGATGCTCCTAATCAGCCGCTCCCACCAGCCACCCCACCAAGCTGCACTAGGGGGATTGAATTGCCACTGGATTCTGTGCACTTGAGTCTGATTTTCAATCTTCTCCCAGTTTAAACTCCTGAACAAATTGTCGGCGCCCACAAAGTTGGTGCCGTTGTCACTGTAAATCTTTGTTGGTCGCCCCCGTCTGCTGATGAATCGCCACAATGCCATCAGGAAGTCTTCGGTGCTAAGCGAAGTGACGAGTTCCAAATGTACACATCGATAGACAGCACATGTGAACAATACCATCCAGCATTTGGTCTGGTTTCTCAAAATCATAGGTCCAGCCAGATCCACTCCCGTAATTTGAAACGCTTGAGCTGTCTTGACACGGTCTTCTGGCAAAGATGCGGGAGGTACACAGGGTTTCTTGGTTGTGAAACGACGACAGGTTACACATGCTGACACCACCTTTTTGATGGCACGTCTTCCCTGTAAAATCCAGCACTTTTCCCTTATTCTTCCCATCAAAAATTGCACCCCTGCATGTTGATTCAGGATGTGCTCTTCTCTAATTAGTTGCTCCACCAATGGATATGAACTCGGCAATAACACCGGATATCTGAAGCCAACTGAATCCTGACGGTTTTGCAACTTGGTTTTCACACAAATCAGTCCATCTTTAATTTCAACACGTAGTCCGCCAATCATACTGTCTCTCGCTTGCAAGGTTTCCGATTGCACAAATCTAAACATGGTCTTTTCAGCCTGGATCAGCTCCCACCGTTTGAGCACTCCAGTTTCGCTATTCTGTTTGGCAAAGAGCTTGACAATTCTCGTCCACAAGGCCACAAGTCGCACATTCATGTAATAAGACGAGTATCTTCTCAAATACCACGGAGCCTCTTGAGATGTCGAGACGAGTTTGACTGTTGTCATATTTTTCTTCTTTTCTTTTAATACTTCATCTTCATTCACCTCTGCTTGTCCTGATGGCCAGGTTTCAGATGATCCTCGTAACCAAGTTGGTCCCTCCCACCATCGAGACTTGAGAAGTTGGGCAGGGTTGCAGCCCCTGGAAGGGAGATCTGCAGGATTCATAACGCCTGGGACGTGTCTCCAATTTTCCACTTTGGTTAGCGAACAGATCTCCTTTACCCTGTTGCCTACAAAGGTTCCCCACTCATTATTCCTTTGAATCCAAGATAAGGCTGTCATAGAATCCGTCCAAAAGTATGTCTCTACTACATCCATGGATAAGGCTTCCACCACCGAACTGTGGAGTCTGGCCGCTATTGTGCATCCCAACAGTTCCAATCGCGGAATGGTCATCTTTTTAAGCGGAGCAACTCTCGCCTTGGCTTGGAGGAGTTGTACGGTAACCCCTTTCTGATCTTCAACTCTCACGAAGACTGCAGCAGCATAGGCAGCCCCACTGGCGTCTGAGAACACGTGAAACTGTACTGATTTAACCAGTTCTGAACGAAATGCCCATCTTGGTATCTTGACCTCAGCTAGCATTGACGTCTGCCTCCACCATTCTCCAAATTCACTCTTTATGTCCAAAGTGTCGTCCAAATCTTCATCCCAGGTTTTCTTGCTTTCCCAAGTCTTCTGTAGCATCAACTTTGGCACTAGCGTAGCCGGACTCAAATATCCCATCGGGTCAAATATTTGTTGTACCAAGGACAGAATGACTCGCTTGGTCAATTTTCCTTGAAGTTGAAGTTCTACTTTTGGGATGTCAACAAAGAGTTCGTCTTGAACTTTATCCCACTTTAATCCGAGAACACGGGTTAATTGCTGCTTTGCATCCGGAACATCTACTGCCGTTCTTTCCCACTGGCGGAGCTCCATTTTTGCATCAGCCATTATTGATGTTGCATGAGTCCTGAATTCTTCATATTCTTCAATCGAATCCAGCGACGTCACACAATTATCCACATAAAGAGATTTCAAAAGAACTGTTGCTATTGGCCGTAACTCTTCTTTTACTGACTCAAGATGAAGTTCAATTACAGCTCCAAGTAGGAAGGGGCTGCAATTTGCACCAAACATCACTCTCCTATGGCGGAAAAGTTTGATCACATCTTCTTTCCACCACAGGAATCTCAAGAAGTCCCGATCGGCTTCTGCCACTTCAATCATCTGGAACGCCTTCCTGACATCGGATATCACGCCCAGTTTTCTTTCTCGGAACCGTAGTAGTAACGATGGAATCAGCTCCAATAAATTGGGGCCTTTCTCCAGACAGTCATTGAGAGAGGGATTTCTTCCAACCTTGCAAGAAGCGTCAAAAACCGGTCGCACTGGGGTTGTAAGGCTCTCTTCTTTGATTACTGCTCGGTGTGGAAGATAGTGACACAAGGTTGAATTGTCTTCTTCAGATACCGCCTCAATGATCCCCTCCTTTTCCCAATCGACAAAGATCTGATCATAAAATTTGTAGTTTCCATTGGCTTTTAATTTTGCTGTTGTTCCGATTAGTCTCTTCTCCGCAACCAGCTTGTTGTCGGGAATTTTCTGAGCTCCATCTATCCATGGTAATGTGACAGTATATCTCCCTTCTTTATTTCTGGAAACAGTACTCAAGAAATGCCGTTTCGTTTCTTCTTCATTCTCTCGCTTCGACTTATGCTCTTCCGGATCTTTAATTCCGATCGAGTCCAGATTCCACAAGCACTGAACGGATGCTTCGCCGTGGAACAAAGAAATACACGACATAGCCACGGTGTCATTTGTGTTGATATTGGGAACAGGTCCACTAAGAGTCCATCCGAATATGGTCTCGACTGCGATTAACCCACATCTCAACTTCACTTGCTTCCCGGTAACGAGCTGTCCCCAGTAGTCAATGAGAACCTCGATCTCCGGGTTATCAACATAAGAATCTTGGTAGTCACTCAACCAGATATTCTTTTTACGCAAGGCTTGAATCCATGGTCCCGCTGGTACTCTTGGAATACTTCCGCAAATCTTTGCAGCTTCCCGAAGTACAAGAGTCTTCTTAACATGGCCATCCAAGGACTTCAGGTCAACAGCATATTTATTGATCTTCTTCACATCGGTCACTCCTCCGCCAAACAACACATTTCTCCCCCATTCATGTCCAATACACTTGCTTCCAATCAGGCTGATGGTTGCAGCTCCACAATTGCTGAGTTGGCTCCCTTCATCATAGATAAGTCGAACACTGGTGACGGCTTTGGGGCCACATGCTTTCAAAACAAGAGTCTTTAACAACACATCCCCTCGGCAGGCCACGTTGAAATTGACAGCGGAGGTTCTAGTGGCACTTGACGATGCCTCAAGCTCACTTGATTTATCCACGACTGACCGGAGCGGACACATCGCCTTGCAATGTTTGACTTCGCAAGCAACACAGTTCCATTGGCATGTGCAATCACGAGCGAAATGTCCTGGCTTGAGACACACCAAGCACAATTTATTCTTCTTGACCACTTCTTTCTTCTCATTTAGCGTCATATTCCCGGCCTTATGACACACGCTACTTTGATGGCCAGATTTCTTACAAAATACACATTGTGACGTTGAGTGACCACTGAATAGCCCCGCACCAGTAGGATAATCTGATTCATATTCTGGTTTGGGAAATCTAGAAAATGTCTTCTTCTGCTTGACAGCTTCCTTTTTCTTTTCATCTGTTTCAAATCCACTCTTGGCCAAAGATCGCTGCCCCTCGTTTTCAACTTCTTTCTTGAGAAACTTAAGGAGGAAGTCCAATTCACTTTGGGGTGGATTTGACTGGGATCCGTCATGTCCGTAGAACAAACTTCTTTGCCACGCCACAAGGAGGTCCTCGGGAAGGCTTGACTCCACCATAGGATATAAAAAGTCTGCCATTTGTTCGTGGGACACATTGAGGGACTCCAAAGCCTTAAGATGAGATTCCAGTTTGTCATACATTTTGCACAACTGGAAGTCTTCTTTGCTCTTTGCGTTTTGAATCACCATCTTCAATAATTCTCGAACGTACAATTGTTTCAATAACTTTGGTTGTCCAAATCGCTCTTGAAGTGCCGCTATCGCCTTGGGATAATTTTCTTCAGTGTGTGGATAAACGTCCACCACATCTCTTGCTCTGGATCCGATGACCATTCCCTGCACCAAATAGTCGAACTTATCACTATCAGCCAGTGTGTCATCTTCGTGGATCTTCTTAAACTGCGACCACCAACTCAACCAGTCCTTCATATCACCGTTGAATTTGCGTAATTGGATCTTCGGCAGTTTAAAGTTTCTTCGTTTTGACTCTCCGTTGAGCGATGTGCCCACCGAGTCGTACCACGCAGCACTATTCGTTGGACTTTGAGAACCTCCAGGCAGCTGGAAGGATGGCACAAACATTTCTTCAGCCTTCACCTTCGTGTTCCTTATCTTGTCCTCATATTCTTCAATGCTGAGACTTTCTTCTTCGTATTCTTTTTCGGAACAACCGTCGGCTCGCATTGAACTCAAAATCTTGATATCTACTTCGTTGATCCTTGTCAGCAACACCTCCAACTTCTCTAATTGACATCGAAGGGTGTGACGATCCGGAGTTTCTTTCGTCAGCTCTGACTCTATCAGGTTGATGGTTCGAGTCACCGACGACCGGATGGGTTTCCTCTCAAACTTGAGCTGCTCCATGGCCAAACCTCAAGAATAGTAAATCCAAAAGACAAAATATATTAGAAGCAATTCGCGTGAATGAACCAAATTGGTCAACAAGACCTCAATCACTCCCGAATGCACGGGATAGGGCCCACAAAGTGGCAATACAGGTAAATTTCCACAAGAATTAACTGCTGCTTCCTTCCGCCAAAGGTCGTCTCTGCTCCCAGTGCGGCTAGTTCAGGTCGTTACAATCAAAAGGAAAATTATCACCTCGTACACCCCCGAATACTCAGGGTGGGGTCCTCAAAGAGGCAATTCCAATGAATCCTCTCCAAGCGACACGATCCCACCTACTCGAACACAAAATATCCTCCACGTCCAATGGCACCAACAACGACAATCCTGGCAAGGTCGCCAAAATGTTGAGATCCGACCAATCTACCCGATTTAGCTTTCACTCTCAAAAGAAACAGGATTTCGAAGCACAGTGAAAAGAACGTAGGAGATGTAAAGTTACAAAAATCTATTTCTCTGATTCCAAATAGCTTGAAATCCGCAAATAAACTGACGAAAACCCTTTGGCTTTACTCTCAAATCAATTTATTTCAACGAGAAATCAACTATATGGACTAAACAATTATTAATCAAATATTTTTAATTAAGTTTTTGCGGAAGAGGAATCTTAGCTCTCCTTAACTTCTACACACCGACCACTAAAAAATACTTCCCACTTCTCTCAACAGAACCCACGCGTCCCTTTTTCCTCACTATCCCACTTACACTCTTATTTCCGCATCCCTCACCCGCTCGATATTGAACATACCATTTTTCATGGGCATCTTATGTTCCATGAAAATGCTATTCTATAATGGCATATTATTAATTTTATAATTAAAATTACAGCATACTAATAACTCTACATATCATTTGACAACTCCTAACTGCTATTAAATTCAAAATGTATCGAGAAAATTACTCAACGAGTAATTTGATAACTCCCACACATGCCAATTCCGTTTTCATACTCATCATAAATCAATGAGTAAAAATTTAACAATATTATTATGCTATGCTTTTAACACCATGTTTATTAGTCATGTTTTATTATGTCTTCCTTCGTACCCATCGAAATCGCTATTTCCCACCATCTGAATTATTATTTTTTAATAAAAATTAAACATGTTATTATTAGATCATAAACTTTGCTAAAGTAATTTCAAATTTCACCCATATTCTGAAGACCTAACTAGCACAGTCTTCACAGCTTTCCGTTTTTGATAAGTAAATAAACACATTAGAGTAAATAAGTCTAGCAAAGCACGAGGTACGATTATTCATAATCAAGCCACAATTGTCGAATATAATAGCATGCTTACACATTAACCTTAATGCATATTTAAGTATGTATTTATATGTATACATAAGCATTTTCTTACGTCGGCTTGTTAGTCGTAGACACGGTCGTAATAACAACTCCGTTCCCGAACAGTGACGTAAGACAAACGAGGACCGCACACGATTGAAAAATTATTTTCATTTTGCCAAATATATACAAGGTTTAACTTTACCGTGATATTAATGAGGAAGACCGCAACGCTTTCACCAATATGAGACAAGGTAAAAATCGACTAATTTCTCTCTGCACACTATCCCTTCTGAACGTCACTCTGGCAAAGGTTGACGTTAAAATAATAATAAACTGAGTATTACCTTCTTGCTTATTTAAACTTGTAAATTATAATCCTCATTTATCGGATTTTGGAAGAATTTTGGAAGAAGGAGTCCCTACCTATCATTTGGCCCTTGACAAAAACAATCGCGAATTGGCTTTGCTTTGCTAGATAAATAATTTCCTTAATTAATTAAACGGAATAATTTGAAGGGTTTAAAAATAAGTTACAGATTTCAGCCATGTGGAAGGATAAGAGCTTCACAAAATCCCTTCCACCAACTTCGAGAGTTGTAAAAACAATGCCAATAAATATTGGAGCTGCCTCCACACCAAATACTTTCTGATTTAGAGATCTCAATCCCCAGATTTGGTAAGTCTTCAGCCAGAGAATGGCTTCTCAGTGCGTCACTTCTGCCAGAGCAACATCACAGATATTTTTGTAAGCATCCATAGTGTAAACAGTGCTAATTAGTCACATTTTCTCTACTCAGTCTGAATCAAAACAACTTTCCTTTGTTTGTAACTTACCTGTATTTGAGATTTTATACAGATATGTATCCGTGTCGTAAACAGGTGGACTAATTTAGTGCCTGACTGATTTCCTAATGGTGTCCAACATACGTCTGTACATATATTCAAACGTTTACTTTTATAGCAATAATATGATACTATAATATGTTATACTCTAAAAACATGTTATTCATGCATTTTAATTTATTTAAACATAAAATTAAATAATTTTATCGTATTGCAATACGATAAAATTATTACAATATATTGTAATAATTAGCCGGCCTTAAGGAGTGCTTTTCATGCAAATGCAGATGGTGGGAGAAAGTCTGTCTTTTTCTTCGCAGAATGACCAAAACTCTAGGCGGAGGCAGCTTGAGATTATTATTTTACGTTTCACATGTATCCACTCCGCCATTACGTTGACACAAATATTCCTCTCGCTTTGACAGGAGAATAATTTTTCATAAACCTATTGTTCATTCATCCATACATGAATATCTTTAAGCTCAAAGTTATTCTCCATCTTGGGTGGGACAGGGTGATCGGGCCAAAACCATAAAAGGTTAGAGTACAAATCTTCTTCCAAATCTGGTGCCTCGGACACGGATCCATCCTAACTTAACAATTTAATTTCTACTTTCAAGGCACGCCAAATAGGGGATCATTAGTGTAAGTTTGATATAAGGTTGAGATACAGGTAAAATGGAGCAGACTAAAAAGGACGAAAAATTATCTTTATTTTTGTCAAATGTTAAGTTCAATTGTACTGGAGAAAGGTAAACAACAAATTCTATTACTACTTACATAAATATTTCAACATACATACATTCTGTGCAAGCTGTCAAGTCACGTAGCTCTTTTATTCACAACTTTACTATTTCTAATACTGTTATTATTCCGCAATGACTTCACATCACCATCTCATCATCACCAGATATTGTAACCCACAATCCCAAAACTATTAGACAAACCTATACATGGAACACCTTTGTTCGAAAGTCGGTACTGAACCAACTCCACTGCTCAATTGTTGAAGGGTATGAAAGTTTGTGCATAAAGCCATATCTTAATATTGTACTGAAGTATCAATTTAAAGATCTGTAAATAGTGGCAAATATTTATTGGTGAGTTTGTCATGGAGACCACAGGATTTTCAGATATGTACACACCTTTCCCCTGATTTCAAACCTGTGTCCAACACTTTGCTTAACCAGACCAAAACCTATTCGCTGCGATTATCTACGTGTGCATCAAGCGTGAACGATAAATAATTCTATTTTAAGTATAATTGAAATAGATGAATTTGATAAAAATTTCAGGTAACAGCATGGTCCTTTGGATGTTTTTAAGCAAATTTCCTCTAAAATGTACCTATATATAAACATATATTTCGAATTTCATATTCGTGTTTATGACACTTTACAACGTACATACATTTTACAAGGTACGTATAACACGGTACATTTTACAAGATACATACATTTTACAAGGTATATTTTACAGGGTACATTTGACAAGGTAAATTTGACAAGGTACATTTTAGAAGGTACATTTTACTAGGATTAGCTCTTCCCTGCTGTTCTGAATTTCTACCCCCGCAATGCATAGTACGCGATGAAATATGCCCCCATAAATGCAGCCACTCCCATCGGGTAGAAAATTTTCATGGCAACTTCGACCCAAATCGGGTCCACATTTTGATTTCCATCCTGACCCATGAAATATTTGCATTCTCGCATCGCCAGAACAAGGATAAGCTCGAGCAACGCGATACCAACGAATCCATGACATCCCAAGGTCCACACGTCGAATGGAGTAATATCGTTCACCGCGTTAAGATTGACTGTTCCGGCGGGAATCGAGGCGCACCACTTGGACTGGACAGCCGCCCCCAAGAGGATCAGAGATCGGATTGATAGCCAGGAAGACGTGGTCGGCGTGAACATTGTGGATGCCCAGATGCTTGCGAGACTTCCGGCCATTGGCAGGTACACGGACATCATTATACGCCCAAGTTTCCGAGTGATGGAAACGCTTATTTGCAGGCAGTTGTAGTTTCCTGGAAGATTTTTGAAATAAAAGTATGTCTACAATGTTAATAAAGTTTCTACACTATCAAGTTTCTGCAACTCATACCCATGCTAGCTTCTAAACCTTGTAACTTTGATATCAAGTACATACATATATGTGTATATTGTACATTGAGGGTATTCACGCACCCTTGGTAACTACGTAAACAGAGCAAAATCCGTAAACTTACAAACATTCACAAACAGCTTCCCGTGAATTCACTTTCCCAATTATTTTTGTAAAAAATTATCAAATAATTGAAACAAAGTGCCGATTATTTCCAGAAAAAGGAAGTTAGTGGAAGAAATTTGTAGAGCTGCATTTATTGATATAATAAATACCATGAACAGTGGAGGCTGTTCCTATAGAAATTTCGAAATTTAACCCTCTTAAATTCGAATCCTAAGTTGTTTTTCGACTCCACACTAAATATTAGCTGAATATATAAATTCTTAGAAATCGATATGGATACCCCTTACCCCTTCTGTTCATCTTTGACATCATATAATTTCATTAGAAGCCATTAAGTACCACCGTTCCGAATTTCAGTGTTTTTAGACAAGTTATGAAAATCGATTTGGGTCACCTCAACGGGTCCCGGATGTGAAAATTTTACCAATTTCACTTCATATTCTTCCATTACGGGCCTTTAGCAGCCTCTATGCCAAATTCCTGCATCGAACAATTTTTTTCTTCCCCAAATTGAGTTTACAAAATACTTTACAAAATTAAGAGACGCCTGATATAATAAAAATTTGTTACACAATGTCGAGAGTTTATTATTGGTAGAAGAAATTCCACTTATTGTTAGTTATTCATTTAGTTGCTATTTAGGGTATATACATTTTGTGTCATGGTTAGTAAACCAGTTTGTAATGAGCTGATATCTATTGACACTTGAATAAAAGAACACTTGAACTTGAGCCTGTGAGCTGCGTAAGTTTACAAAAGTTTGTAAACTGATCTTCCTTGGCAATTTTTGTAACAGTACGGATTTTACGCTGTTTACATAGTTACGAAGGATGACGTGAATTGCCTCATTATATAAGCGTAATTTGCGTAAAATTTGTAACTTTCGTAATTTTACCTATAGTAGACATTGTGTATGCTAATGACAACGTTTGAGGATTCGAAAAATATGACATCTAAAATCCCAGAAATTAATAAAAACACTGGTTTTGATTTTGTTTTTGTAAATATGTGTAATTAATGTGATTAGTGGGTAAGTCAGTGCTGACAAGTTTCACTATTACCTTAAATACATACATTCCCATGTTTCAAGTTCGCAAACTTCGCTGTATGATTTAGGTACATCAGATAAATGTAAAAGAAGTTCAAATTGCGAACAATCCGAATAATAAACGTGAGAATAACTGGCAACACACTATACATACTCAAACCCGGAATCCTACATGTTGGCAGTCTGATCAGCTTGCCCGGTATAACTCTCGCCACGTGCGTAAACCTCGCTTCTTTGCAACTTTATAATTTTCATATAGCTCCAAAACTACATAACTCACATGCACAATGTGTGTAAACTTCTTCACCACTTTCTACATACATAAACTTGTACGTAGGTCGTCTAATAAATATTTTCAAACAGTATGTTCCGCATTGTTTCTGACCAAACTTTTGATGAAATAACAAACCTCAGATACATTTAGGAAGCTGTGATTTTTTTCAGTTCTTTAGGCTGACATTAGCACTAGCAATAAATCACCAAACTTTACCTCGACGGAAAAAATGCCAAATTTGCAAATTAAATATCGTAGTGTGATTTAATTTTTAATGCTGGAGGGGCAATACGTGTCGCAGATTTATGATCGAATGCTTAAAGTTTACGATGAAAACTGCTCAACACAAGGCACAAATACACTTGGGTCAATAATTTCAAATAAAGGCGAAAAGATGACCCAGACAAAAAAGTCGTCAGGATACCCAAAATCGGTTTCCACCGCAGAAAACCGCCAGAAACTTGAACACCCAATTATGAGAGATCCACGATTGAAACTGTCCTATTTAGCAGATGAGATGGGTGTTCCAAAACCACCAATTTGTTCCATGTTAACTGAAGACTTAGGTATGAAAATGGATTCCTTCCGTTGGGTATCAAAATTGCTTTTGGCATCTCAAAAACATGATCGAGTTGACTTTTGTGATGCAAATTTGGAGCTTTTAAATGAAAACTGTAACCTGCATCATATTTTAATAGTTGCATATGATACTTGGGTTTACTATTATGACCTGAAGACCACACAATAATTTATGCAATGGAAGCACGGGGGATTTCCACCGCCCGTAAACGGAAAAGTGCAAAAATCTGCCAAAAAATTGATGATCATTATTTTGAAGGATATAAAAGGTCTCCTCCTTATAAAATTTATTGCTATAAATACTACGATAAGTGGGGCCGCGTATGCAGGAACCCCGAAGGAGCTGGGTTTTGCGGTTGAAAAGAAACGTGGGGTCAAAATAAAGAGTTGGCCTCTTTTAGACGACAACGTGCCACCAAATATCTCCCTGTTTTAGAGGGCTGGTGCAAACGAAAATCGCTTTACCTGCACAAACCACCCCCTGTTCAGTCCAGACAGGACCCTTGCTGATAATTATTCGTTTCGAAAGTTAATGAATGACATCAGGGGGAAGCGATTTTCGGAGGATAATTAAATCAAGTCGTAAATTTTGACATATTTTCGAGGTAAATTTTGATGAGTTATTGCCAGTGTTAATGTTAACCTACAGAACTGAAAAAAATCACACCTTCGTAAATGTATTTGAGGTTTGTTATTTCATTAAAAGTTTGGTCAGAAACAATGCGGAACATACTTTTTGAAAATATTTATTAGAACACCCTCGTAGAGCTAACCTGTGATACCCTTATGTGCTTTACTAGATTAATTTCGTAATGCTAAAATATGTGTAAACTTCGTAATGTTTCTGCAAAATCTGAAACCTTAAAAACTGATGGTTATAACTAGATTTCCACCAAATATGACATCTAATTTCGGGGAAACATTGCAAATAATTACTAATTTGCGAAAAGCTAAATGAGAAGGAGGAAGTCGGGAACCGCGTGCAGATATTAAAGCGTCTAACCTCTCATGCTATCTTCAGGGCAGTATCGGGCCACAAAGCCGTTGACCCAGAATCCCGCCTGGTCAAGGTCATCAATCAGCACGAGCGGGTCCACGGGAGACCACGCGAACTGCACGTCATCATCTAAATTTTCAGCTAAACAGGTAATTTATATCGACACGTGGAGGTTCAGTTGCAAATTTTTAAGTTGTCACTGAAATTCGGGAACAATGTCTTTACCATTTGCGAACATCATTGTACACGTGTTCTTGTCAAAGGGGTACATCTCCAAGGAAATGGGACAGAAGTACGTCACCGTCACTCTAAAAAGATCGAAATCGATTTAAACCTATCATTCTCAGCAGGTTTTATAAATTTGGTTTTTGCAATAATTTTTGGAAATTGGCAGGATCTGACTAATAATCAAAATTTTTCGCACGATGGAACGATAACATATTTTTACAGTAAATGGAATTATAAAGAAGGTAGTACAATTCCGAGTTAAAATTTGAACCATTTTCCAATAAAAAGTGGGTTAACAAAAATTGCGGAGGGATTTGTGCAGAAAAATATGTTGAATTATGCCCACAATGTGCAAATTGTCTTCAGAATGTATAGCATTATGCATCCAACATTTGTCGATATCTGTATAATTCGACATTACAGTTTCCACTAAGGGAAACAAACAGACAGACAGACTTTCTCATAAAGTATCTCCATAAGCATTCACCTCGTTCTGTACAAAACAACCCCATCTCCGTAAATCCTGTAATGCTCGTCGTCCCGTGAACCTGAGTGCTTTAGATGTCCGCATTCATTAACAAAGTTCATGTCCGGTCTCCACAGTTTTTTAGCGAGAGAAAGTGGCAAGTTTACATATTCACATTCGTCACCTGCCAAAAATAAGGGTTAATTTGAATACCAAATTTTAAAATTCAGACATATTGAAATTTTGTAAACTTTGCAAAGTTACAAATTATACCTACCATCACCTATCCTCAAACGAGAATCGTTCCACCTCATCTCAATTGTCAACTGCACGGAGAACGTCTACAAAAAAATATTACTTCACGACAATTATCGTAACTTCGTAAAATGTGCAACATTAATAAAATTTTTAAAGGTAATATAGATTTCCAATTTTTGTATAATGGAAGGGCTGTGCTCCTTGTAACGAATCCGAAATTTACACAATTTACTTTTGCTCTTCTCATGGTCATTACGAAGTTTACATATTTGTTTATGCCACGAACTCAGGAGAACACAGTCAATGAATTCATCATGCAAATTAAACTACATATTTACAGCGGAATTTCCATCCCCAGACAACCGCGTAACCTTTGTAAGTCTGGGTACATACATATCTTTACAGCCTGCTTTCGCAACCCTCTGTTCAATCATTGGTTACAAATATCTGAGTAAATTGCGTCACTACAAAATTCATGGTTCCCATCCCATCTCCCAATTTTCGTAATGTGTGAACACTTACCATTTTCTCGTCATCAAAATCTCGCAGGTTTTCAATCGTCAGCCCAATCGAGACAATTGTGGAGGACGATCCTACAGACGTAATTAATAAGCATAAAAATTCACTTCAAGAATATATAAATTCTGTAAAAATGGAATCTGATTAGTAAACTGGTAATCTGTAATACGCTAACTTTTATGAATAATATGTAATTTTAGATTAAGTATTCCATTCAAATGCAATTCGATTAATTCAGATTACAGATTACATTTTTGACTACAATTTGGGAAACACAAGTTGCTTTTTTCCAAATTTTTTGCTCAATTTGGTCCATTTGCATTTTCATACATACCTGCATTCTTTCCTCTATTAAGAAATATGTAAATATGTAGCTCTTTGGGGTCACCTCGTTTGCATAAATCTCAAAATGCCCCCTCCCGACGTAACATGTTTTGCATCTTGAACATCTAATATTTTTTTCTTTGATGCGTCAACATATTTACATATGTATGTCTGCAAATGAGGCGAAACCCCGAAATAATTCTAGTCCACCTTGGCAAATTTCCACATTTAGATCTACTCCACCATAAAAATCGATACCATCTCAGTAAGAATTGTGTCATCAGATTTAACAAACAGATATTCACTTACCGTTCGGATTGGCTGGTCGAATCGTTCCATCATACGTTTCAAACAGCTTTTTAACCATGTCGGAATGCGTGGCATTTCCGGTCCCGTTAGAATTTTCCAAGTGAGCCCCACTGACCAGAACGAGCCTGGAGAATTTAGGAAATATGTAAATTAATTGAGCACATCATATATTTATATCGACCACGCATGCACACTTAAAAATAACACAAATATTTAGATGAATTTTCCTTTCATCCTGAAAAAGCTTAATTAAATTGCTTAATTTGTTTTACTGAATAAAGAATATCCAGGCGTGGATCGGCACCATTTTTGACTTTCTTCCGTTTCACTATGGAAAATGCAAATAATTCAGACATTCATGTAATAATAAAATGCAGACATTTTTGTCTCATCAGAATGGAAGTCTCTCACTGCATGCTCGCTCATTTTTACCAAATTAGTCTTAATTAGTTGTTCACAAATCTAATTCATATGAGATTTTTAAAAGGTACGATTTCCCAATAGACACGTTTGGTTGGTAGAGATATTTGCATCCGAAAAGGTGAAAATGCGTAGTAAATTTCGAAAATCTAAATTTTCTCCACTCTCCCAAGCGTTTCCTCGTCGCTTTCGACAATTTTTTTGCGCTTTTAGATTTACTGCGCATTTTCCACTCTTCGAATGCTAATATATGTGATAAACGAGCCCACTGGGAGATCATGTCTTGTCCAAATTCCATCCTAATTAAATTTATAATCTATGTTTTGAGACTAATTTCCTCAAATTCGGGGAGCATATGTAAATAAACTGAAATTCTCAATTCTGTTTAGTTTGGTTAATTACCTGGAATCAAATATTTATGTAAATAAATGTGATCCAGAAACAAAAACCTGCTGTATAGGATGCCCAAATCAAAACCAGGTTTCCTGGAAATGTTGTTTAGAAAACGAGAAGGTGAAATGCCAGGCTGCGACAATGTAGTTGGTGATGAATTTCGAGAGAGCAGAGTCCAACTGGGGGAGAAAAAAAGCAAGATCCGATCTGGGAAATATGTATCATTCTCCCCGTCCCGTCGTCGTCAAGGCGTCCCTCCGAATATCAGATCAACTCGAACAATTTACTCTCATATCTATTTATTTGTCCCCAATCTGCTCAAGATTTCATTCCTCAAAATCCAGACACCTGGTAGTGCGCAAATTTTTTCATTTTAGCTAAACAATTTGGGCGTACTCACGACAATGCTTTATTTATTTTTAATCGAATCCCATCTTGGAAAATCTGCAGATTTATGATATGAGAGACTCGCAAATTATGACTTTCGTAAATCTCGCAAATCTGCGAATAAAAACACGGATTTTCATGGATTGGTCTAACTTCTTTAGATCGTGATGCCTAGGATGAATTTGCGTAATAAAAATATGCTTATGCAGCTCCTTGGTCAATTTGTGACAAAAACAATCTCATGAATTTGAAGTAAGCGTTTTGAAAAATTTTGAAAATTTGACAAGCCATTCCTACCCTTAATTTGCGAAATATTCATTATTTGGTTATTAACAATTTAAACTTCATGAAACGACGCATTTTCTGCAAATCCATCGAATTATTTTCATGATTACGTACGTGACGGATTTTTGTCATGACAATTGTAATTTTCGTGCTCACATTTCCCAACAAGTCACAACTTTTTTTTCAACCAACCTAATAATTGGAAATACATACATAGACTCACATCCTTTGATCGACACGTGGAGAAAGTTTTTTTCCCCAAAGTTTGACACCTTGTGAAATCAGCCAATTAAAAAAAGTAACCCTTTCTCCCTCAAAGTTGACGAGATTCATTCGCATCAAAAAATATTTATTGTAGCAAATGATGAGCAAGAATCGATATCTCTGCTTGTGCATGAAGATAACCTTGGCATATGTAAATCATATGTACATATGCAAATGTCGAAGGTGTCCCTGAAAAAAAAATATTTGCATTCCTTCACTTCATGTTCGTATAATCATTTTCATGGAGCTTAAATCTAGCTTTAGCTCTGTTCTATGTCTTCAAATACAAATTTCTTAAGTGGCACTAATTCCTAAAGTTTCCTAACATAACAGGAACTGAACAGCATTCCATATTTTTATTTATGTAAGGTTTATTTTTGGCAGTGTAGCACTATCAAAAAACTGCTTACATCTGTTGGCATGTTTTCACGACCGACTAAAAACTGAACAATTTCAATTTCAAGTTCAATTTTTTAATCTCTAGTTTTAAGCATAGTGCAAAAATTACCATTGCATCAAAGCACGAACAATTGAATGAATTTATCTGAACATTCTTGAAGTCTTTGCCGTATTAGAAATTTGCCAATTTAAAGAGATTAATTTGTGGTTGTCCGAGATTACAAATGTATGCGAGCCACATCAAGGCATCATCCTTTGTACGTTTAACTCATGAACTTAACTTATAAAGCTTGGGAAAGCTTCAAAATTACCACATTACTTAAACAGTCGTCATTTCAGAAATTGATTTTAATCTGCCTTGTTATATTTTAGTTATTACATTTTCCTTCTTTCCCACATGCCTGTAACCTCAAAAAGGAGAAAAGCATCACAAGGAATAAGATAACTACATGGCAACTCTGGTAAATAATGCGACAAAGTCCTGAACTTTCGCCTCAGTCACAATTCCGAGAAAATCACACTTCATTTTTTAAATGAGTACAAAGGGAATACATTTCTACGAGTGAAGAAATCAGGTAAGCAGGAAGTTCCTGCTTACCGTCGCATTTGGCAAATTCATTTCTTCTTAACGGTGTAACAAAGCTAAATATTTTTAATCAGACAAATTATTTATTAAAGTTGTAAATACATCAGTATTTACTTGGTGTCGCAATTCGCCCCAATGTAAAATTTTACATTAACATATTTTGGCAATAATTAGTCCATCTAAAGGGAAAGTGTAAATCCCTTGAAATACAACTTAAAAGAAACTTTTAAAACTTTTTAAAAACGAAATCTAAAACTACAAATTGACATATATATATAGTTACTTTCAGCTCAAAATGTGAGCCAGAAAACTGGATCAAAGTGAAAGAGTAGTCAACAGGTAAAAAGAAGGTTGAGAGATGTGGGTCGTGCATAAGGAATATTTCCAATTTCGCGGGAGGAGTGAAAGTCCAAAAATTTCATGATATTACTAACAAATTTCAATTCCCTACCCAACGCTTCACACCCAAAAGTATCCTATTCTTGACGCACAACCCCTCACAGAATTCCGGGAATTGTTGTTGCCATGCTTGGAAATTGTAGAGACCGGATTCAATTCCCCCTCAGTAGCAGAAATACGTTTAGGACGAAAATCTCTCTCTGATTTCTCTCCCCCTCCTCACTTTCACTCACCTTTCCCTAAAAAATAACGAGATTTATTCATTTCTCGGCACGATCTGGATGATTCCAAAGTGGATCACTCACTTGGTAGATAAAGGTGGCTGTGATTCTCTCAGAAAAATCTATCCATCAAATTTACACGGGGTCATTTCAATAGAGATATATAATACCTGTCCGTTTTCATATCGGCAGTGAAGTGGCACAAATTTACTTGGATTTGATAAAAATGCGCATATGCATATATGTCCTTGAAGGTACATACATAGAAGAGATGAAGAGCAGAGGGGATGAAACCAAGGAGAAAGCACGTCTCTGCAACCCCTACAAGTGCCATCTCGCGTTCTTTACTGGGTCAAAAATATTGATGTCACCATTTTTGCAAGGTTTCTTGTATCGATAATGTGAATGTATTTCAATTGCAGTTTATCTTTGGGTACAAACTGAGAGCGGGCATGTTTCCCATAAAATATCGTATGTTGTATCATACATATGTATGATATCTTCCATATACCTTGGTCAAAGATCCCGAGTGTCTCAAATAGTTCACCTTTCAGGAATGTCTCATCTTTCCCAAGTGACTCATATTTCCCAAATATATTGTTTTCCAAATATCTCATCTTTCCCAAATTTATCATCTCATCTTTCTCGAATATTGCATCTCATCCTTCCCCTATGTTTCATCTAATCTTTCCCAAATCTCACATCTGTCCAAAATGTTGCATCTTTCCCAACTTCTTCATCTTCTTCAATGCACGAATCTCTCAAAATCTACACTGTGCACGTCTTCTTCTCATGTTCGTATTCGAATGAGATCAATCGGTGAAGCATGGGGAAAATTCCTCATTAGCTTTAGAAATGGATTAAGCATGTAAAAAATAAATCACATGCTTCATACTATTTGTTTATGCATAGTACATGCCTCTATACGTATTCCTAAATATAAAAAACTTAAATGGTTAGTGGGAAAGTTCTTACAAGCCACATGTAATCAGAAATGTTTTCCACTGATTTTTCTAAAATCAAAACTACAAAATCAAGGACCTAAACACAAGCAAGAGTTTGCAAGACACTGAAGCATTTTTCCAGTTTAAGAAAGTTTTGGTTTGGCAAAAAGATTTATTCCCAACATCCGAAGAGAGATGTAAGCCATATATGTGCATATGTAGATACATAGTTTTGTATAATGAAAATGCTCGTTTTTAGGCCTTTTAAGATGGCCTTATAGATTTACCAAGATGTCTGTCTGTCCGTCCGTCTGTGCGTCCGTCTGTGCGCACGATAACTCTCTTTAAACACATGCAATCGACTTGAAATTTTGCACACTTCATCTTCGGGTCAAAAGTAAGGATGAGTTCGGAGATGGGCCTGATCGGCCAAGTAGTTGGCCAGTGGGGGTCTTTTCCACCCAAATGTGTTGCCATTAACTACCAAGATGGTATTAATGCCATCTTAAAAGGCCCCGCAAAGTTGCTTGGAGTAGGTTTTGTAAACTCAAAACATTCGCAATTTGCGAATCGCAAATCTTTGAGTTCTGCAGAAGTGTCATGAACTGTTTTACTGTTTAGTCCCGGTTTTAAGATAAAATCCGACAGAAACCTGTCTGACGTGTGCATTGTTAGTATACATATTTTACCCCGGAACAGGGGAGATGTATCTCATCTCAACCACATGAAATGTATTTCCACAAATGAGGCAGAATGAGACGCAAAAAGGAGAAAGCTTCTCCCTGCTCAAATCTGTAGGCGAAAGTTTTCTCCTGCATGGGGACCGTGCAAGGTGCATAAAGAAGATATTACATTTTCACAGAATCCCCCCCCCCCGATTCTCAAATGGTGACAATGGGTGACCCATGAAAGCGGACAAGTTATGATGACGGCACTTTTTTAATTGAGAACATGCTTTATGCACGATCTCACCCTTACATTCAGCTTGAGAAGAATACGACCACCTGGG